TCTGGATTTAGGGGAACAAACCTTCTGTTCCATGTGATCTGGTGTGCATCAATTTCTTATTTGGTTTTGAAAGCAATGTAGCTAGAAGTAACTACACTGTTGGGTAAAAGTAAAAGAAAAAGAAAATTTTGAATCAAGCGTCAAGGTTGCACTTCCTTACTCCTCAAAAGCTCAAGCTACCGTTTGCCATTCCCCGACAACAGCGCCATTTTGACAACACCCGCTTTTCACTTCTTAAAAAGTGCGGTTCTGGATCAAACGTTGTCAAAAGATTGAAGTTGTGTGTGTTTGGGATTGTTATGGATAGATGGTAAAACGAGGAGTCAGAACCACCCCGAGTATCGTTCCCTCGACGAATGACAACTTGGAAGTTGGGCTTGAGAATAGGTAAGGTAGATGAGACACTTGAAGGCTCAATTCGGGAAAGTGAATTGACGTTATTGGTTTGGAAGGCAATTAGAACGCTATTGGAATGGAAAAGGTAGATCGGGGAATAGGAATTTACTCAGAGAGAGAAAGGCGAGTAGGATCGTGTTTTGATTGTGTTGTGTGATTGGTCAATCCCGCAAGGGGAGTCTTGTGGTGATTTGATTATGCGCTACTAGTCAAGAGAAGCGGATGGCTAGTGCGATAGCCGGTTCGGTCTAACGCCATGTAGGAACTCTTGTTCTCTATTGGGAATTTAAACAAACACTTTGCCCTCACTTCTTTCCGGGTCTTGCCCTTTCGGATCGTAGACGGGGAAATGAAGAGGATCAAGGCTACCGGATCTAGCAATTTCTTGCCTAGACCTAGGTTTCCAACACCATCCGAGGAGTTGGGCCCTAGTCCAAGAATGTCACAAAGATCATCCTCGACAACAAGACATCCACATAGTCAACAATCAATCAAACATCACAAGATAAGCAAATCAAAGCATCATCACAACAACAATCTACACCTCAACCCTATACACTAGATTTAGCCAAGCATGGTTAAGATCTCAACAATCAAAGGGTAAAAAGAGATATATAATAAAGCACAAGGTAGAATTAACCCATTCGTTTAGATCCACCGAATACAAATTGTTGATGGAGATCTACTAGCCAAAATGCCTTCAATCTTCAAGCTTCTTTGCAAAATCTAGCATACAAGGTGTTTGCTATTGTAGATCTAAATCTCTCTCTAGAAACCTATTCTAACCCTACTAATCTCTCTCTAAAAATCAGATCTAATCTAGTGAAATCTCTCTACACAAAGTTCGCTCTCCCTTGCAAAATGAAACTTTTGAGCTTAAATATGTTGAAACCATTCGACCTCTCATTCATGCACGGCGTCACGCCGTGACGGCGGCGTGAATGGGGTATTAAGCCCCTCCGTGCGTAGCTTCGTCCGGCCTCCTTTAATGCTCCATTTGCGCAGCCCTCACGGCGTGAGGAGGGCATGAATGGGAAATAATTCCCATTCCGTCCCTCTTCTTCGTGCGTAGCCTTGGCGTGTTCGGTCCTCATTCGCGCGTTCGCCTCGGCCTAGCTTTTCCAGCCTTTTTACCACGTTTTGTGTCCTAAAATATCCAAAAACACATAAATATAATTAGGAAGGTCGGTCCTATCACATTCGTGCTTTTTAGGTAATTTGCTCAATAAATAAGACTTTTCGGTTAAAATACACATGCAAAACCTTAGGAAAGCTCACAGAATTTTAGCATGTTTTGAGACTTATCACAACACCACACACCAAAAGTGTTGCAGCCCTATCACACAAGCACGCGCAATGCATCAACCACCAATCACTGTTTTTACCACCAATCTCATATCTATTCTTCTCATCATGGACAACAACGCACAAGTAAGACTTAATAATGACTCTACAATGGGATGACTAGGGATGGGCTCATTATTCACATGGACTCTCAACATGGCGTTTGACCCACGAAGACCGAACAACCCTGCGTCGGCCCGTACCCACGGGTGTACGGCGGGAGGACAACCTCCACCAGCGGAACCACGCCGTTCCAGCAGGTTGACCGGCGGGTGGCCGACCACCCGCCTGTCCTCCCACCAGGCGGCATCTTATGGTTCCCGCGGGTGGACCGGCGGGGTGGCCGTCCACCCGCCCCGCCTCCTGCGGGAACATCCCTCAAATCCGGCGGGTGGTTGAGTGGGGGGTCGTTCCCCCGTCGACTACTCGCTGGAACACGTTCCTTGGCCAATTTCCCAAACCTGGGAATTCATCCAATCATCCAAAATCAAGTCTTAAACATGTCAAAACACATACAACAACCATAGGGACTTTAACACGTAGAACGAGCCAAGAAACAACACAATAGAAGCCTAAACGCAAACTCTAAACATGCCAAGACTCAAGAATAAGCACACAATAGTTCAACAACATCAAGAACCTCAAAAACTTCAAGAAATCAACATACAAAACCCTAACGACAAGCCTAAACTTTGATTAATCCCTGAGCATGCATAAACTCACCCAAGAATGCCAAGATCGTTACGAATAACAAGATTCACCATAATAAACCCTAACACGGGCTCTAAATGCTCATAACCAAGAATATACAACCAACCACACAAGTCCATCAAGAATATCAAGAGTAACAAAAATCCATACCATAAATTCTTAAGACAAGCTCTAACAAGGCAAACATACAAAATCACACATTCAATCACCCAACGGAACCAATCAATAAAAGATAGCAAGGAAATAGGTTTTGTAAGAAATGGGTTACCTGGTAGCTTTAATTAAACCTATTATGACTTCTAGAATCTTTCCTCAGGGTCTTTTTCCTATCAATCTTTCCTAGGCTTGGTAGTGGGGATTCTTTGTCTGAATTCTTGGGAGGGATTTCGTGTGGGGAGAGGGAGATATGGGTGATAGGGTTCTAATGCTTCTAATTCCCTTTATATAGTTTAGGATCCCTAATACGAATCTGAATGGATAAGAGGTTTAGGATTCCTAATACGAATCTGATTAATAATGGGTCATCCTTCTTTATTCCTTACAGGCTTAAGACTTTAATATAAACAAGGGTCAACGGTCCACCATGGACGACACCAATTAATTAAGGGACTCTGATTAACTTAAATCCATTTCAATTATTCTTAGCGGATTTGATTAAATAATTAATTTGAATTTTAAAGGGGTAACACGGGGTGTTACAGAAACCATGGAGACAGTCGGTGATTGTGAGAGTCTTTGGCGGCAAGTAGGTTACACATACCTTTCAAAGAGACTCTATGCCATATGGCAGCAAAAAAAATGGAGGTTATTGCTCTCAATGATGACTATTTTCTAGTAAGATTTTGGTCTGTAGATGATTATGAATTTGCGAAGTATGGGGGGCCTTGGACTATCATGGATCATTATCTAATAGTTCAAGACTGGAGACATAAGTTTGATCCAAACACTGAATAAAACATAAGTTTGATCCAAACACTGATAAAACATAAGTTTGATCCAAACACTGATAAAACAGAAAGTATGCTAGTATAGGTGAGATTTCTGGATATGCCGGTTGAGTACTTTGATCTGTCGTTCCTGATGAAAGTTGGAAGAATGATACGTGAGCCAAAATATGTTGATCAGGCAATAAGTATTGTATCCAGGGGTTAGATTTGCGCACATGTGTGTAGAAGTCGACATCACAAAACCTTTGCGATCAAAATTTATGGTGTGCAACGAAAGGTTAAACGAATAGAATATGATATGGGATCCACATGGTGTGCTTCAATTATGGAACCTATGGCCATAGTACCGACAGATGCAACAAGGACGATACTCATGTCAACGGATCATCGGAGACGGGGGGTGGAGCTTCGGCGGGAGAGGGGCAAGATTCAAGATGGAAACAAATCAACCGCCATTAATCAGCCCAAAAATCACGGAGAAATATGGGCAGTGGATGTTAGCCACCAAAATTGGAATACAGAAGGAAGAATAAAGCACAAAAAGGAAAAAGTATCAACAAAAATGGTAATGATAAAAAGAATACTAGGGAGGCTAACGGTACTGAGTAAAGAATCGCGGAGGTTAATTCGAATAAAAAAAAAAGAATGTTAATAACTCCCACATGGAAATAATCACAGAGTCCAGATTTGCGGCCCCTTGTGGAGGATAGTGAGGAGAACGAAAATGGGAAGATAGAAAATGAGGAAAATGATAAAGGAATAAAGGAAAGTAGCGAGGCGAATGAGAAAGCAAATCGAAATGAGAATGGTAACGTGGAAAGCAACAAGACTGGAGGTGCAAGAGAGAACAAAAACGTGAGCATCAGCAAGACTGGTGGATCAAACAATAAAGAGAAAGGAAAAAGACCAGATGTGCAAATAACGGAGAAACAAATCCTTAATGAAGAAAGAACTGTCCCCAAACACATGCAGGGAAGAACGCAACCCAAAGTATGCAATCAGGGAAGGCCAGCTCTTCCCGTGCCCAAACTAAACCAAATCGCGATGCTGCTGAGACAACTCACAATTGTTCGTGGGTCCAAGAACAACAAGCAGCCGACGAGTGTAACGGTGGAAAATGAAGAATTGGGAATGCAGGTCCAAGAACTCTTCACCAATGATCTTTTTGAACATCATAATGATCCACGTAATAAAGAAGATGATCTCATGGATGAAGGCCTTTGGCACGAGTGTGATGGTGAGGCGGAGAAAGCTAGCATCCCGGAAGGTGATGCTGTTTGAGTGTGTTTCATTTCTCATGTTTGCAGTGTTGCCTTTTCTATTTTTTTTTTTTGTTTCCATGATCGTTGTCTGGAATGCACAAGGGGCGGCCTCTAAAAAGTTCCTTAGAGCCGCCTGGTCCATGATTAGGAAATTTAAGCCGGTTTGTTTCTGTGTGCTCGAACCCAAGTCCTCGGGGGTTGGAGCTAATGAAATGTGTTACAAGCTTGGGTTTGATAGTTGGCTCAGAGTAGAAGCAATCGGTATGAGTGGTGGAATATGGGTTCTTTGGAATGACTCCTTTAGAGCCATCTTGATTAAAACGCACCCCAGTATGTTCTTATGGAGGTCAAAAGCATTAAGCATGTGAAATGGAATCTCGCGATTATTTACGTGATCCCAACCAAGGCCCTGAAACGTAGTCTTTGGAGGGATCTTGGCAAGGATGTTTGTAAAATCTCACAGCCTTGGTTAGCTATAGGGGATTTCAATTCGGTCCTAAGCAGCGATGAGGTTATCCAAACTACCTCGTTCAATGATCAAAGAAGTAGAGATTTTGTTGACTGGGTTAATCAGGAAAGCCTGATCGACATGAGATATAAAGGACCTACTTTTACGTGGAAAAGAGGAAATAACTCTAATACCTTCCGGGGCGCGAGACTGGACAGGGGATTATGTTCCGACGACTGGCTTGATATATATCCTAGTGCGACTATATCCCACCTCCCAAACATTTCGTCTAATCATAATCAAATATTGTTGGGGACTACCGATCAGAATGGAGCGAGGAACCAACGAAGGTTTCAATTCCAAGCATCCTGGACTGCTCGTAAGGATTTTATGAAAGTAATCAATAACGTGTGGAATAGCACCACGCTGGCTTTGGTGAAAAATTGAGTCAAACTAAAAATAAACTTGTGGACTGGAGCAAAACTGTAGTTGGTGATCTGACTAAAAGAAAGAGGAGGCTCGCAGCTAGGATCAATGTTGTTCAAAAAGCCATGTCAATCTACGCCAACAATGGTCTTATAAAGCTTTATGCCAAACTTAGACGGGAGCTCGAGGAAGTGCTATACCTAGAGGAGTTGAATTGGTTCCAAAGATCGAGAGAGGAGTGAATAGCTTCAGGAGATCGTAATACAAAGTATTATCATGCTATAAGTATAGTTAGACATGCTACAAGTTTTAATGCAGGTCTCTAGAATGAAGCCGGGGAGTGGGTTTACAATGACGAAGATACGGATTGCATGATTCAAGACCACTTCCGGAGTATTTTAAGCACGAACGAAAGCCAGTCGCCTACCAGGTATGCTTGTTATAATGAAACTAATTTAAATACTGATACTCTTTCCTTGTTTTATGAAATTGCTCTGTGATACTTGAAAAATAAAAGCAATGTGTTTTTACTTGTTAATTAAGTTATGCACCAGTTTCGATAATTAATTAGACTCATTTAAGCAAGTGTAAATAATAACAGTAGAAAGCATAAAGTAAATTAAAAACTCAAAGAAATTGTTACGCAGTTCGGAGCTCCTTCTCCTACGTCTGCGGGGCAACCGCGTCTGCCCAATCCACTATAGATGTTCACCAAAAGGAGTATTACCTCTCGCGTCTGCCCAATCCACTATAGATGTTCACCAAAAGGAGTATTACAAGAGGTAAATGAAGACGGCCTCCAGCCTTTACCACTACCACTCTTTCTAACACCTATCCAGGACTAATACACGAACACCCAATTAATCTTCACAAGATGCTTGAGCAGTACCACGTACTGATCATGTAGTACAGATTAAATATTCTTAAGACTTAAATAATAAATTACATTAAAATGAATAGCTTAGTAAATCAGGATAGCTCTCACAATTTGTAATGATCAAGTTGGCAGTGTCTTCTTTCGAACATCACCTTTTTATAGCATATCATGAGCTCCTTTTTTGATCCTCAAACATAGCCCTTTTTCTTGCTTTCCATTGTTCGAATAAGCCACAGCCACACACCTTATTTCTTTGAATGCTTCATCCGTAGTCTTTATTCACCAATGCATGTCATCCACTTATTTTGTAACCAAATGGTCCAAAACAAAAATAATTCTAACAACACTAATTTAATTTAAAGCTAATGAGACTAAAAATAAAATAGCCAATATTGTGTAAATTATTTTACACTTACAATCTCCCCCTTTGGCATTTTATTTGGGAAAATATGAGTATCAAATACTTTGGGCAAGAATCAATTTAATTTTATTTATGGCCCTTAGTATAGGTACTTAACAAGACACAAAAGAATAAAGCTAAAACAACTTAAGTTCTTTTTGGACCATGTGAGAATAAAGTACCTGATTCAAAATCTTCAATTCTTGAATCAACCACAGAAGCATTGAATTCATAGCATACCACATCATAAATTAAGTTGTTCATTTGAGAGAAGCATAACCCGAAACATCCATTCAACTTGTTAGATGTACCAACGTACCAAACACAACTACTACTCCCCTAACTAATATAGTTCTATTATTTCCATAATGAATAACATAAAGACTTCCAAAAAATTATAACCACTGCTAAATAATTCCAAAAGCATCCAATACTGCAAAAAGTTTCCAACATACTCCAAAGTTACGCAAAAAGTTTCCAACATACTCCAAAGTTACCTTAATATAATACTCCCCCTTTCCAAAATACTCCAAAACCCCCCCTTTTTGCCAAATAATTGACAAAGGAAGGTGAACATCATAATAGTGGATTAGATTTACCGTGCAGACGGGGTGCCCGAGTCGGAATCATCATCTTCATCTTCAGAGTCAGAACCAGAGGAAGCAGCCCAGTGTCAGCCAGAATTTGAGCGTGAATGGCTTCCATGCGAGCGATTTCTTTGAGCTGTGCATCACGAAGATTTGCAAGGCCAGAGATGGTGGCTTGTTGAGAAGCAACTGATTGCTGAACATGTGCAATAGAGGCCTCAAGTGTGAGCACAATTTTTCAACGATCAACCAACGTTGGAGGTTCTTTGGGAACCAATCTCGGGCCTGGACGAGAGGCTGACACCGTGTCAGCAGATGAGGCTGGCGCAGAAACCAATGGAGCTGGAGGCGGAATAGCAGGAAGCGGATCAAGAGAAGCCCTATCATCATAATGACTCTTCTGTGTAAGCCGATCATCAAATATATAAGCATTGTCAGGAGTTGTAATCACTTCTTCCTTCTAGGGCTCAAAACCATGTTCTTGAAGTACCCCATAAATCAAACTCGGAAATGGGAGATTGACTTTGGCTACCTTCTTCTGCAAAAAAGACATTAAGTGAGAGAAAATGACCATGCCTAGGTTGAACGGTAGACGGTTCCTGATTTTGTAGAGGAGGCCAGCGAGATGTTCCGGAACTAGGTGACGACGCACTGCCGGGACCCAATTAGCTGACGCAAGGCGAAGAAGCACTGAATAGAGAGTGGTGAGTTTCAAGCTTGAAAGTCCGTCACTCGGCCATGAAACCGCTTTATTATGAGTGAGTGCAGCTGCCAACAAGTGTGGGCTAAGATCCGGAGAAGCAGGATGATTCGGTGTGCCCAAATAAGCATTAATTTTCGTAGGCCCGAAGGGATACCAAGTGCCGCGAATGAAAACCTGATGAAACCGCGCGGAGCCTTCAGTGAATGTGTCCAAGGTCAAATTTGTGTAGAATTCTGCCATCAACCATGCGGAGTAGGGACCAACATGCAGTAGAGATGCAAGCAAATTTTGATCACGCAACAGTGGGATAATGTTGCATTTGGCAGCCAAGTCTTCTTCATTGATAGACTTTTTGACAATAAAATCGCGGTTGACATGGGTCTTCCAAATAGCAAATAAATCGGGTGACAGAAGTTTTGGTTAGTAGACCTTCCTGGACCCTTTCGATTTGGAGCCGGATGTGATAGTTACGGCAGGTGTGTCAGCTTGGGCTCGGGACCGAGTGATTCTGGGCGGAAGAGTGGACCCCCTTCTTTTATGTTTGCGGTCAGAGTGAATATCCACATCATCAACTGCTGAAATTTTTCGCTTCTCGGCATGACCTACATCAGACAACTTTTCTTTTCCCTTTCGGGAAGTCTTAGATAGAGGCACAGTAATAAGAGGGACAGAGTCTTGAGTAGGTGACACAGACAGAGGTGTATGTTCAGTTTTGGTCAGAGAGGCGGGAATGTGAATGGGTATAGAGAAGGCAGAGCATGTCATAGCCACAACTGGAGAAGATAAATTTTGAGCAATATTTCGAATGGAGAAATTTGAGGGCAAGGAACTCACATAATCAGAAAAAGCAACCAAGGGAGTGGGACAGCCGGACAAGTAGTGAGAGGCCGGATCTTAGGGATCATTAGGCAAAGGTAAAGATCACACATTTATGGAACTACTAGGCACAGTAGACACAAACTGCTCAGGTAAGGAGACATTGAAATCAATTTTGCGAGAAGTAGACAATGCATGTTCTAGAGGAGAGAGAGACAAGGGAGATACCACAGGATTAGATGGAGAGAGAGAGAGACTGTCGCTGGTAGCGGCTCTGGTACAGCAGGTGCGGCTGCTGTCTCGGCCGGAATGGGGAATGGAGCGGCAGAGATATGGCGGGCAAGGGCAAGCAGTTGGCGTTGTTCCTTGTCTGAGAGTCCTTCAAGCAAAAAGGAAAGCTCTTTGATGGTGGCAAGTATAATTTTACGAAAAAGATGGGTTCTTGCATATGATCGAGGAATCTAGAGAGAGGAATGGGTTCTCCATTAATGGAGGCTTCGAAAAGAGAGAAAAAAAAAGTGGCGTGAGGGGTAGATGAAGAAGAAGACGAACGAGTGTAGTGTTTCGGCTAGGCTTAGTGGAGGTAAGGAATGAGACAAGGACTTAAATGTTGATTTGATGGCTTCTCAAAAGTTGTGAGGGATGGGACGGGTAGAAGACTTAGGATATTATGTAGGCTATTGAGTAGGAGTAGGATAGAGAATAGGTGTTTGGCTTGAATAAGTCTTCTAGATGTAACATGAGGCACCCGAACAAAGAAAACAAACTTATTAGAAATATAAGTATAGGCATTAAAAAAAAAAAAAAAAAAAAAAAAAACGAAAACGCTTAGACCTTGAGAAAAAAATACATATCACTTGTCCCTGGGAAAAAATACGTAATAACAAATTGTTAGATAAAAAATAAAAAAAAAATACAAAACAAATACCTGCTAGTAGGAATTAGACAGTAATCGTACAAACTCCGAGAGCTGCGCGAATTAATTCAAACCTGGATTTGTCTAATGGCTTTGTGAATAAATCTGCAAGATTTTTGTCAGTAGAAAAATAGTCTAACGTAATTTCTTTGTCTTCATCTAGTTCACGGATGAAATGATGACATATGTCTATGTGCTTCGTCCGAGAATGTTGGACCAAGTTTTTTGATATGTTGATTGCACTAGTGTTGTCACAGAAAATGGTCATATTTTTCTGATCAAACCTGTAGTCTGAAAGCATTTGACGCATCCAAAGTAGTTGAGTACAACAACTACCGGCAGCTATGTACTCGGCTTCTGCAGTGCTGAGCGATATTGAATTCTGCTTTTTACTCAACCAGGCAACTAGATTTTTCCCGATAAAGAAGCATCCTCCTGACGTGTTTTTTTCTATCATCGGCGTTACCAGCCCAGTCAGCATCACTAAAACCTGTAAGACTAAGATTAGTGTCAGTAGAATACCAAATACCATAACTGATTGTACCTTTAACGTATTTTATAATACGTTTGACTGCCTTTAAGTGCGATTCCTTTGGATCTGCTTGATAGCGTGCACACATTCCAACACTTACCATGATGTCTGGTCTACTAGCAGTTAAGTACAGTAGACTGCCAATCATACTCCTGTACAAGGTGGAGTCAATGGAAGTTCCTTGATTGTC